AACTTAATTTAGACTTCTTAAGTGAGTTGACCAATTGTATTAACTTGTATTTTCTTATTTGTAAATATTTAAATTTTAACTATCAAATTTATTAAAAAACTTTTGAATTGTGGCGAAGCATGAAAAATGTTTTAAGCTCGTTCCACTCCGCCAAATAGTTGGAAACTTGGCGTCTTTTCGTCGGGATTATTTTATTTATAGTTAACATCAGTAGATACCGCATATCTAATGAATTTATATTTATTATGGCGATAAGAAATTACTAAAATGCCTATAGGGTTGCCTGGAATAAATCACTTGTTAGCGATAAGGCCGCCCGTTGCCTTATAACTTATGTAACCTGCTTTTTTTTATATGTATGTTTTTGTATAAGGTAATAAAGTGTGAATAAATAAATAAAATGCGAAAAAGCTTCTAAAAAGGTTGAGGAGCTCCATAGCTTTATAATATTTTTCATTTGTTTTTCCTTAAATCCGTCACTACAAATCCTCGTCTTAAGAAGATAGGAAACTTAGCATTATAAAAATTTCCTACGTTGTTTAAATCGATGGCAATAAAGTAAGCATTATGCAATCAAAGCGTTTGGCTTGGCGCCAGTGACACAAACATCTCTTCAATAATATCTAATGAAGTCCCCATTGAAACGAATATTTAAGATTGAGCGATTTTATTTATAGTTTAAATCATTTCCGAGTTAATCTCTTGAAAAATTCTAAATGAAACTAAAACGAATTTTTAAACAAAACAAATTAGCTTATGAAAATGGAGTAACATGCACGAAGTTTGATGTTGACACAGTCAATAAACATGAGTACTCACACTTCTAGAAGTACCAAAAAATAAATCTATGTTGTCCAAGTCCTTACTTAGCTGATAACAAGCAACTTGTACTAAAAAGGATAATTCGACTATCGGTTTTTATAGAAGCCACGACACGGAAGGGCGGAGACCGGATTGGCGTCGGGACGTTACGGAACTTTATTGCCCACTGGTGAAATAACCTGTAACTGAGGTTATTTCACCAGCGCAATCAGTCAACTCTCTTCCTAGTGGGACTGCGATGCTGTTGCTTTCTGGCTTCAGGCAAAGGCAGGCACGACCCAGCCAGTACCACTGTCTAAAACTGTCGTGAAGGGATGCATAAGTTTACCCTGTTATACTCGCGTTTCGTGCTGTTTCTGAGATTCCAAGAGACTCCCATACGCCCCTTCCCAAAGAAATATGACCGTACATACTATCCATCTACACGGTCAGTACCCGGTGGTGATCGCACAAGCTGACCTTCGTATTCTGGGGACGGCAACACTGCGCTCTATGACTACCTACATCATTCAGTTATTTATCGATATCGGGACAAACGGAATAAACTAACAAAGGCACCCGTCAAACTGGTTGGTTCAACTCTAACATCCACGCTGTACACTATCATCTAGAGACTGCGAAGCCGGCCTTGCTCTTTCTTACCGATACTTAGATATCCTTCCCGACCAATACTTCCCACCTCTGCTACTCAGGGAATTAATTGTAACGGCGCGCGGCAGTTTGCGTATAGGACACAGAGGATGTCTGTTCTCGTTCCCTCGGGTCGCTTGAGGGAAAAAATATTTAGGTAACTATGTGTGTGAATTTGCATAAAATTTATGCAATTTTTTAATACGTAATTGTTTAGTTTATTATTAAGTTTATTTCTTTGTACATTCAACTGGCTTAAATTGAGCTGTAAACAATAAATTTTGAGGAAAATAGGTTGCATAACACATTCCGGTATTTATTTAAAGCGGAATCCACAAGGACGAGTTTGAGGCCTTGGAAAACTGTATCTATTAGCACATTATACAATCGTAGATTCATCGAAAGTTCTAGTTCCAGCTTTCAGGGTCCCATTCGAAGTGCACTTGACATGCTTAGCTGACGGGTCAAACCACGGCGCACTTTTATTATTATATACCACAATAGTTGGGTGTAAGTGCCACTCAAGACTTTTAGTAGACAATTCTATTTATTATATAGAAATACCTTATACACGTATTAATATACTTTCCACATAACTTATTGCTTTTATTGTGGCTTTACGAGTATAAGCCTGTCATCAAAAACCATTCTTCTAAGATACGTTTGGTTCTTTGTACCAGGTTCTATTATTGTAGAGTTAAGCAGATAAGCTACATTATTATAAAGAAAAATTACTGATTTTTATAACAAGTGTTACACAGTGTTTTGTTTATTATTTTTCCACAATTTTGATATGTAAAATTGTAATAGACGTGAGGAAACATATAGGAACGTATAGAATTGTTAAAACATTAATATATGTTACCGGCGTTTTGAAAAATTACGTTCAAAAGAATTTTCATATTAAGTAGCGAGGAATTTGTTTAACTTCGAACAACGCAACACAAATATTTCTGTCTGCAGTTTAAAATGAGTAATATACAGGGTGTCCCAAAAGTCGACGTCAAGTCGAAATTTTCTCATAGGTAATGCCACACCAGTTATCAGAAAAATTTAAAAAAAAAAAATGTCATGTATTTTTGAAGTTATGGATATTTTTTGTTATTCCAGAAAATACATTGAAGTTTTTCATTCCTTTTTACAAATTTTACAATTTTTTTTCTCTTACGTCATCCCGAATAGTGCTTTATGTAACCTATGATCCTAAACCCTGTCCGATCACTCCAACTTGTAGGAAAATGTCATTTTATACCGTACCAAGTTTTCAAAATTAATTTTTCGCACTAGTTCAACTGATCGTCCTGAAAAATATTATCAGTTGGCAAGTAGCTTTAAAAGTTAGCGCATTTAATAAGGATTCTACAGTGGTGTAACACTTACTTATTATTTCTTAGATCGGCCATAAAAAAATTTTATATATGAGTTACAGAATTAAGAAAAACACGGTTATGTTCATTAGATAAACTAGCTTTTTAAGCGGTTTACATCCGATTGTAATGGGATGATATATATACTATATACGAGTGTATGTATTTTTTAGTGAGTGTATATATTTACATAATCAGCTTATATAAAAAAAAATCATAAAAAAATAATGAACAAATTACAAATAATACATAATAAATTAGCTTTTAATTTTTTTCCAGACAAGAATTTGGTATACATTTAAGCTTATTGTAACGATTTAAAAAAAAAATCGTGTAGAATTAGATTACAGTTCGCTGGGTTCACTTCCCGTCCCTATTCGCTTAGCTATTTCTCTATCTTCCTTTAAATCTCTACTGGGATAAAAGGGATAAAATGCTACAAGCATTACCTGTCCATAGTATCCCTTTTTTTATATAATAGAAGGGCAAACGAGCCTACAGGACGCTTATAAAGGGCAGTTAATGCAACCAATAGACACTGCGTAGAGAGAGAGAATCATACCGATCAGTAAAACATTGGAGATTGACAATTCGACAAGCCCTTCGCTGAATTTGGTCAAAAGGAAGAAGCTGGTATTTGGAAGCTGATTATAATCTTTCTTGAAAATAAACGATTTATTATCCAAGAATGAAATACCTATTTTAATAGTTAATAATAAATATAAAATAATTGTTTCATTTAAGCTTTCTGTTTTCGTTCACATCATAATTATCTAGATGAGTGTAATAAAGGTGCATTGCATGCAATATTAAAATAAGAAAACAAATTTGAAATGCCGTTTCCGCTCAAACACTTATTTAGGTCAAATACGGCAATTTTTCAGACGTCAAAAACCAGGTTAGAAATGCCTAACGCCCTGCTTGACACACTGCTCTCAATTAGCTTCATGTTACATCACAGTCTTAGTAATATTTGAAACTTAGACCGATTTTTTGTTTGAATGACAATGTTGTATAAGATATGGTATATGGTATCTGTACGTCATTTGATTTATAATAGTTAAGTCAAGCCACATTTCATATAAGCATACAGCATGCAAAAACAACATTTCTAAGATACAAACGCTACAAAATAAATAAATTAAAGCACTATTCAGATACAATTTTTAACACCTACTAATAAAATCAATTAAGAAACCAACATTATGACGATTAAACAACTATATGTTTATAACACCTGTATCTTAATTTATGTCTAAGTCACACTAATATACCTTATAAACTTTTCTTTAAAAATAAATTGATACACTCATACAATTTACAAATTAATTGCTGCAAATTGCATTAGCAAATTTCAATCAAAATTCTTTCAAACTTCAAATCAAACATATTTATAACCGATAAAAAGTTTGACTTCAAAACAACATCTAACGGAAAAATTGACCTAACGCAAAATGTTACACTAAATTTTTTTCCAACCCCGATAAAGAAGTTTCACTTCAAAAATTGAATAACTCTCTCCATAGTATCTTATCATTTAGAAAAATCAAATACACCACTACTCGCAATACTCCTCGAGCGAGTTTGCTTATCTTGCCGAAGCCGCGCACAAATTATTTACAAAAGTCTATTGAGTATGAGGTGTGCAATTAATTAATCAATTACTCTCTAAAATTCGTAATATTAGCGTGTTTAATCAATTTAAAAGGGCATTAAATATACATATTAGAATGAGTTTAATTGACTAAAATTGAGACAGCTGATGGCGACGCGTATCTCGTTCGTATATTATATTAAGTTTCTCACGTAAATAAAAATAAATTTTTTGTAATGAGAAATAAAGTTCTTTAAACATTATATAACAGAGTCGATAATGGAGGGCCTCTTACATTTTAAAACATTTATGTCAGTCAAATAGTGACTTCTTAGTACCAATTTAATTTAACTAGAATATGTGGCGAGAGCAAATCGAATCATTTTTAGTAGGTCATTTCATTTCAAGTGTTGTATTCAAATTAAAGTTGGAGAAACGATTTACAATATCGTAAATTGGAAATGAAATATATTTAATTACTACACTTAAAAACGTGTTCGCTCGCGGTTCATCGCTGTGACCGATTTATGCAAATAACGGTTTTCGTATTTTGATTTGTCAATTATCGAAATCCTACTATAACTTACCAGATATATTAATCCTGGCTTCATCATAGTAGTCCAGCACTAGATCGTCTTCGTCTTCCGGTACCAAAGGTTCTTGAGGATCAGCGCGACGATGGGTGGCGTTGGGCGCGCCGGCGCCGGTCACCACCAGCGCGCACAGCACTGTGACCACCCACATGACGACATCACCGCGACAGGAAACCACTGAATCAAATAATGATTATGAGTATGCTAATTGATTAAAAAGATTCTGAATACTGTAAAATATGATTGTCTACATTTAATAACATACGTTGTAGAATATTAAAAAAAAAATATGTATGATTTCGACACACGAGGTTATATATCTTCATGTTCTTCTCTATTATATATAAAAATAACTTAAGAAAGGCTACTCTAACATTAGAGAAATCATTGTTATAGGATATAATAAAATAAAAATCTGGACAGTAAGCTGTTTGGGTACTCAAAGTGGCGTACGCATTCTATTAATTTTAGTAAAGCACAGCATGTTAACTTACTTGACTGATTAATAATAATAAAAGCCTTTTATTTGAGATACTTTTACACTTAAACACATTTATATCTCATTCTAAATAGGTATCTGTGTGCCTTTTTTGGCAAAAGCCTCCAAATTCCTTCTGTCTGGACTGTGCCACTCTCTGCCATGTACCACCTGCTGTTTCCTTAACTTGGTCTATCCACCTTCTAAATTGTATCAAAATTCAAAATTTATTTATTCAGTTAAATCACATGGTCACTTTGAATAGTCAACTCTACCGCCTGTTGGAATCGCGACCAGCACACAAGGAGAAAGGTCTCGAAGAACCTCGGACTAGCTTTTTATCGTCTTAAGTTATTTACAATGCTTATATTAGTTACAATTAAATTAAATAGCTGCAGCAAATTATTTTTAATTACTAGGTTCCTTACCTCTTCTAGGTAATCCGATATTTTATAATAAGCTTTCCTAGAGCGCTTCTATATTAGAATTTTCTTAAATTTATTATTCGAGCAGTGTTGGCCTAGTGGCTTCAGCGTGCGACTCTCGCACCTGAGGTCGTAGGTTTGATCCCCGTCTGTGCACCAATGGACTTTCGTTCTATGTGCGCATTTAACACTTGCTCGAACGGTGAGGGAAAACATCGTGAGGAAACCAACATGTCTTAGGCCCAAAAAGTCGACGGCGTGTGTCAGGCACTGGAGGCTGACCACCTACTTGCCTATTAGATTTAAAAATGATTATGAAACAGATTCAAAAATCTGAGGCCAAGACCTAAAGATTATTGCGCCACTGATTTATTTATTTTATTATTTATTTACAAGTTTACCACATGACTTGGTAGTTTTTTTTTATAGAACAAGGGGCAAACGGGCAGGAGGCTCACCTGATGTTAAGTGATAGCGCCGCCCATGGACACTTTCAATGCCAGGAGGCTCGCGAGTGCGTTGCCGGCCTTTTAAGAATTGGTTTATTATAGAAGCGTACAGTTTGACCTATAAATGATTTATTAACTTTATTCTTCCTTAACTTATTATTACTTTTTAAGATATTGATGTTCGTATTCAGATTGATCGCTGCAAATTGTGACATAGTAAAGGTGTGAAGTAATAAATTTCATCATGTCGTTATTGACCACGCGCCATGCAAATGAAAACGAATTTATCTTTTTCGGACATGTGAAGTCCAATCCTGAATAATGATCGGATTTATTTCCATAAAAAATGTCAGAGCCGGACAGTTACTCTTTCTGTTGAACAATTTTATTTTTTGTTCTGTATTTAAATTCAGAAGAATATAATGAAATTTCGTGTTTTTAACTGGACCAGCCGGTTTGTAATGTAATTTTGAATTACATTTTCAATTTACTTTTTTAAATATTTATTAGAAATTTGAAAAAGTTTTCATTTTTGTTTTCATAATTGTTTCATATACATAGGTTATACAAGATGGTTATTATGTGCCTGATTCATAGAGCAGTGTTAGTCTAGTGGCTGGAGCGTGCGTCTATCATCCCTGAGGTGTCGTAGGTTTGATTTCCAGCCACACACTACTGGACTTTCTATGTGCGCAACAATGTCTCATGCATAGGGCATAGCGGGACCAACGCGAGTTTCGTATTTCTCTCCTCTCCAAGTTTTACCAGCTTGTTGTCTCTTCGCCTCATCTGCAACTTTACGTCCAACTTGCAAACCCCCCTTTCTCAACTTAAACGAAAATTAATCAACAAAGCTTTTTATAAATTTGAGACCACTTAAATGATCCTAATCCTTGGGATTGATTCTCCAGTTCAAAATTTGGCACTGATTAAAAAAAGTGCGGAAAGTTTCTTGCCAGTTCTTCGTACCCGCTTGCTACGCCCTTGACCAACTAAATTTTACTTAATTAATACGATTCAAAGTTACTTGGTTACCTACTTGAATAAAGATACTGGCCAATTGGATTGTGATTCTCATGATATTCTTTCACTTTAGCAAGTATCAATTGCAAACACTTGTTTAAATTTAAATTTAATAAGGTTAATTATTAAACTAAAGGTTAATTACGATTTTAATATCTCGAAACTAAATTTATTGAAACATGAAATACATTTAAGAGACATATCTAAATATAATCATCATATTACGAGTTGTCGAGAAATTCTCATAACCAAGTAAGTTTCTTAACGAAGGTGCTAAACAACTTAACTCAAAGCTAACGTTAAAATAAACGACTATTAAAAGCTGTTCTGAAGTGGTTAGCGGTTGTGCATTGCGCACTGCAGTGGTGCGACCTTTCATAAAGCTTTCATATTTACCAAATTGCCTAAATTATTGGATAAATAATTTATTGATAGTGTTTAGCACAAATTAAGCTGATAAATTATTTAAAATATACAGTTTATGGTTAACAATATACAGACGTTGCTCCTTCTGAATGCTGTCCTGACACTATCGACATATTTATATGATCGCAGATCGCAGATCACAGTAGTGATATTGTGTATATTATGTATTTAATATTATACACTTTATTATATTTTTGTCGACATTACACTATTAGTACTGTTAGGACAATGTATGCATTTCTGTAATTTAGAAGACGCTCGATCAGAAACTTATACAAGTGAAAATAATGTTTAAAGAACTTTATTTCTCATTACAAAAAAATATTTTTATTTACATGAGAAACTTAATATGTACGAACGAGATATACGTCGCTATCAGCCGTCCCAATTTTAGTCTACTAGGCTCATATGCTCTTTTGAATTGGTTAAACGAGCTAATATTACGAATTTTAGACGGTAATTGATTAAATAATTGCACACCCGCATACTTAATAGACTTCTTTAAATAATTTGTGCGCGGTTTTGGCAAGATGAGTACGCTCGACGAGTATTGCGTGTAGGGATGAGTTTGACTTTTTTAAATGATAAGCTACTATGGAAAATGGACTGATATGACAATTTTAAGTTATTTTTTGTGGTCGTGGGTTTGATTATCTGTGATGTGGCAAATTAGTAGTTATATATGGGTAAGGGAAACATTGTGAACCATCATTTTTTAGCAACCATAAAAATCGACGATATTGGTTTTGCCGTGTGTAGTAGATAATACTCGTTAAAAAAAAAAGTACTATTAGATAATACGTTACGATATATTTGATCGTAGAGGGTCTCCTTAGGGTCTACAAGTAGCACGTAGCACGAGCTTTTAAAAATCGAACACGCTCCAATTTCAAACGTGTGTTGAAAGAAATAAATTCGTTTATGTAATCTTCTGTACTAATTTGCATATTCGTGAATATAGTCATGTTTTGATTGAACAGTTGTTTATAAAATCCCGTAACGGATAGTCGGAGGCCAATAACATGCATCTAGATAGATAAATTTTCTTTCTAAACAAGTCGTCGTAAAATTTTGAGACATGTCGCCATATTCCATACGATGTTTTTCTCCAGCGACAAGCAAACAGCTCTCAATTGCGTATAAGATAATCAGATGCACGCCCTCGGAGTTAAGAATCCTAAGTTAACACTACTAAAAAAAACAAAAGAATTATCTGCTTCAAAAAATTAATAAAATTTACGCGAAACTACAAATTAAAGTGTAGAATCACGTAATCTCGTTACACGTTTCAGTATATTTTGCTTAAATAACATTATTAGTTGTATATATTGCTGCAAATAAAATGCTTGACTTTTAACTGAAATCATAGAATCATTCAATAAACAAGCAACGTAATTACTACTATTAAAAAAGGAAATAAAAAGTGTGTATTTTAATTTATCTATTGATAACCTTTTAAAAAGATAGATGAATTTGATTTAATTTATTTAGAATAACTAATTGGTGCCTGATTAATGTATTAAAAAAACTGTGGTGGCAAATTTATATGTCTCTTTTTTATATAATGTTATTCGACACTGAAGTATTTCAGAACTAATTCGACTTAGGGTAAGGACCTTAAATCGAACAGCAAAAAATTATTAAAAGTCCGGCTACGCACTTGCGAGCCTCCTGGCAATGTGAGTATCCATTAGCAGCGGTATCGCTTAACATCATGTGAGCCTTCTGCCCGTGTGCCTCCTATTACATTAAAAATAAATCTGTTTAATTATGTATTAGCTTAGTGCCTTTGTCAATTGTCATAAAAGTATCGAACCACTCACGAACAATATTCTGTCAAGATAAATAGATTTTTAATTAATGATTGATTGATAGAAGTAACAATAAATGTTTGTATGAAAATCCTTAGCAGTGCTTTGTTATTAGGAACCAAATGAACATTGTTCGTAAAGTAAACAAAAATCTAATAAATGGTAACAATAATTATCTCTTGTTCATCAAAACCCAAAAATGGTTAGTGGTCCTTATCACTCGAAGTCACGTTGGAAACAAACATGACAAAATATTTTTTATTAATACACATAGAATGCGCATGTTCCTTTGTTCCATTAGTTTTGTCTAAGTAACTATATGTCTTATGCACTTCTTATCCTTATATATCTTATCCTATTCTTATCTAATTTAATTTATTATTATTTTCAAACAGTGAAACACACAGCCTGCCTGCTTTTGTCTAATTATTTTAATTGTATTATATTGTACTGTATATGTATTAGCAACAAAGTGTAAATAAAGAAAATTATAGAATCTATTCGTTTGAAAAGACGATAAGAATTTATAACGCATATTT